CACAAAATGCGTGGAGAAGTATCTAGATATTCGACGCTAACTGAGTTCGTGGGATAGTTCTCGAACTCCGAATCTCAGTTCGTGTCTCGTACATGCTTAGTATACATCAATGACTCATGTTGATGTATTTGTAGAATAATCATGCAGATTTACATAACAACCTCGACGGGAATGGCTCAAACTTATAGCTTCGTGGTGGAATCTTCTATTACAGTAAAACAGTTGAAGGAATTCTTCCTTGAAAAAACGAACCATAAGAGAGATATGCACAGTATATATTTTATATTCGATGGTGAAATCCTTGACGATAATGGCAGTACAATTGCAAGTTATGGTGTAGAAAATAAATCAATACTACAATTACTTAATTTAGATGCTACTGAGCGAGTTGACTTTTCTTCTATAGGCGCGAAATTTGTTGATATTAGTAATAATGAAAGTTTAAAAAAAAAAGATTGGTCGGAAACAGCTCCACCTTGGCGAAAAGCTAGACGTGGTCTATGTCTCGAAGGTTTATGCAGAAATAATCAATGTAAAGCTTACAAACAATACGTTGTTATGCCAATTGGTTATAGGAAATTTGATATAATTATTGATTCAAGTGAAACTACAACTAAATGCCCTTTATGTAAGCAATATGTTGAACCAATAACATGCGGTTTTAATAATTGTTGGTGGAGATATGAAGGAGTCAGACAAGATGAGGAAGGCAAACCACCAACAAGATTTTCAAGTAATTGGCAGCAAGCTGATGATGCATATCATTATTTTGATGGACATACAAGTAGAATAGTCTTATGGAAACAACTGATTGTTGAAGCTGTTAAAAAAAGACCTTTAGAATAACTTATTATTCAATTCTTAATTAATTGTATTTTATTACCTGAAAAATTATTTTAATCTCTATTTTATTATGCGATCAGAATGTGGTTCTAGGTGTGACTGTGGATGTGAGTGTGGGTGTGGGGTGTGGCTTTGTGTGCGGATGTAGGTGTGTGAATGTGGGTGATGTGGCTGTGGCTGTGGCTGGGTTTGTCTATTTTCTTTTTTATAGAGACTCCTACACCTCACCCCCATCCCTGCTCACACTCTCACGCATACCACACCCATACCCACACTCACGCACCCACACCACACCTACACCACACCCAACTCACACACCTACATCCGCACACAAAGCCACACCCCGCACCCACACCACACCTACACCACACCCAACTCACACCCACACCCATACCCCACCCACATCCACACTCGCACCCTACGAGATAATAATCCTTTAATGATTTAGTCACTATTTTCCTTTCATCGATTCCGATAGAATCTTTCGGATAACTCATCTACGCATTTTATAAAAATTCATCGCATCATTGAAATACACAGAATCCCAACTCCTCATATAATCCAGTGTAATGTTAAAAAGCTCTAGAGCCTTGCCAAGGCTTCGATTATTGTTCAAATATTTAACTGAATTTTTCACAAAACATATTTCCAAGTTCGGTCTTCGTTACAACTTTCATCATAAATACATTTTCTGTCTAAGTCTACCCACAAGACTACAAACTTTTGTTCATAAGTGACAAGAGAAGTATTACTTTTGAATTCATACATGAAGAACTTTTCACTATTAGTCAGCTGAAAGAAATGATATTTTCATGTATCTATGCTCGAAAAATTCATTCAGAAAAAAAAAATGTTATAGAGAGTAGAAATCGATTCAATCAAGTTTATATTCTGTTTTCTCGCGAGTGATATACTAAACAAAACGAATAAATTTTTTTAAATACAAAATAGTTTTGGGTATATGAGATAATCATATACTTATGCAATACCTTCGAATTATAATCGAAGTATTACAAAAAAAAAAAGTGATGCTTAAATTAATTCTTATATATATTTTATCATTTAGTTAATTTTCATATCGACTATATTTATTTGTCATTGAGTGTATTACGATTGATTGGTAGTTTGTACAATGCTCCTTATTTTATTCTATATTGTCGATTGGTTTACTACTAAGGTAAGGTGAATTCATTGCAAGAATATCATTGTATAAGTTCAGATAATCATAATTTTGATAACGTAAGATAATACTAAAAGTTATCGATGTTCGTTTTTCAATAATTGCATCGAAAAATTGAAAATCATGGTGAGCATCCATCTGTAAAAACTAAAGATAAAGTAAAAATATAAAGGACTCTTTTTTCGAGCGATAACAATGTTGGAAGTGTCTAGGATCATAGAGATCATGCCCAAAAAGATTTTTATCATAAAATAAATGTAAACATGACTTAGACATAATATAAATTCTAGATTTCGCAGATTTCGATTACAAAAATAAGCAATCAATCAAAACTAATATCATATTCTGAAACCTTTCTTTCTCATCGAAAAAATTCACATGTACCCTCCTCAGAATATTTCTATCGAGGCAAGCAGACTTTCAGCTTGTAACATGAAAGCAGTAGATGAATTCGGCAATATTTAGACAATAAAGTTAGCGTTTTCATGGATTTCATTTATTTTTTGTTCCGAATATGGTGAGGAAAATACGGGTAAAGTTTTCTGATGAGAAAAAAGTCTGAAAACTTTTTCATATACTCATCGATGAGTTATACTCTTGATACCGATTCAGAATATAATGCTAGGTTTGATTCAGCACTTATATTTACGATCACAAAAATAAGTAAAATATGAAATTCATAGTATATCTAAGCTATGTTAACACTAATTTTGTGATAAAAATGTTTTTGCGCAAGATCTCTATGATCCTAAACACTTCAAACATGATTGTCGCTCGAAAAAAGAATCCATTATTTAATAAAATAATGATAATGTACTATCTGTAATTGAGAATGTGATCATAAATTGCTTATGTATCAAAGCTGACTGTGGATATTTTTCAAATTTATTTAGAATGGCAAAAATTCAGTCAGTAGACATAATCTATGTTGAGTACGTAAAGTGATAAGTTTTGATAGAAATCATAATGAATTTTATATTTAAATTCCAAACGCATTTTGCATTTTTTTAATAGTTCATCTGTGATATGCAGTATTTCTATTCTTCATTTGGGTGATTCGTTTATTTGTGAAGGTATGAAAAAATTAATGAATCTGAATAAATTGAATTGATAGAGGTGTGGGTGTGTGCGTGTGCAGTGAATACCAACACTCACATCCACACCCACACTTATTTTTTATCTAAGGAATAAAATAAAATCTTAAGTTTCTATGAGATAGAAAAACGTCGTATCAGTGAGCTAAAAAAAACTAATCATGCTAAGTGAACAAGTTCATACGCACACGTTGATATTATATATAATGCTACTTAGATTACTCGAAATATTAAAAATCAGTAATCATCAATGAATTCGATGTAATGTCAGCAACTGTGCATATACAACAATAGAAAAAAAAATACTGATTGCTTGTTAAAAATCAAAAGCATATCAGTTACTTTTCCGTTATGAAAAACTTTCCATAGTCCATAATTAACATCATTCGATAAGCTGAAGTAATGGTGAATAATGAAAGTTAACTTGAGATACACATGAAAACAATGAAACGTATTGAGCTTTACAAAAAAATTTAGAGAAGTTCATATTGCTTCAAGCACGCCCGCACAATAATTGAACGGCAATCGTCTACAATCAATGGCACAGTTAGATCGGTGTCACATGTGAAATGAGGATAGCAGTTATAATACTTCGCACTGGTAACCATATTGACTTTCTACGATTAATGAACTAAGACAATGACTATAATGAATAAAGGGAACAAGCTCACAAGAAATTGATCATGTATAAAATGTTTTGCTCGAGATATATTGGGATCTTCGTCGATGTCGAAGTCATCTGAAAATAACAAAAAAAGTTGTTGTTTAAAATAATTGTTATCTTTTAATACCGATTTTGACTCTTGGTACAACATAATGGTGAAACTCAGGAAAATAATCTTCTAGTCGGACATCATTTGTGATTTGTTTCGCTAACAGATCTTGTTTGTTAAGTAATAGAATAATAGATGTTGTTCGTAGCCATCTATAAGAGAAAGAGATAGAGCAATCTTGTATTATTTCCGTTTCATATAGTTGATCATACTCATTTTTTCGAATAGTTTTGAATAGATCAAGTGATTGCTGAAGTCGATTTTGACTTCTATCTTCGCCAGTTATTAAATTAAAACAACTACAATCCACAACGAAAATAATTCCTATAACATCACGAAAATATTCAATCCATTCTTGTCGGTCGTCATGCCGTAGATCCATTTCAAACAGACTTCCAAATAGAAGAGACTCGACATTTATTATAGGGATTATTTAGAAACTTACTGAAAGCCCACTCGATGATGCTTGAAGAATAACTTGAAAATATCACACGTCAAAAAGCGAAAATAAATCATATCCTGAAAGAGAAGAAAAAGTCTCGTTTTTAGAACTAGGAAAAAAAAAACAAAATGATTGATTTTGTTATTTAAGTAATCGAGACCTATTGAGTCAATTTCTCCTCATTCAATTCTCTAGTCTTTGCTAACATTGGAAACGTATCAGCATAATTACTGGCTTACTGTGATGCTTGGAATGTAAGTGGGATATTTAACTTTGTTCACAAGATCGAGAAAACTAAAACCAAGAGAAGAATGACAGTTTAATAGGATCTAATAAGTACGAACTATTTGACAATATCTGAATAGTTTTGTTCCATAGATTGTTTCAGACACAATTGTACACCAGCATCAGCCCAAAGAATTGCTACATGCTCATAGAATTCGGATGGATAATCAAAATTGTTTGCTTGAGCAGTCGTTAGAATATAAGTTGCGCGCCAATGATTTTCTGGATGTTCAAGTTGAACAGGTGGAATACTCTGGTCGAAAGCACGGAGAACTTTCTGAAAGGAAAGAAAATTAAAACGAACAATGAAACATGAACACACTAGAATTCTATAAAATCAGACATGCAACCGAATGTCGATAAGAAACTCAGAAAATAAATCTCATAATCATTTGATGGATTTCTATGTCTCGAGCAGAACATTATAAGATATACTTACGCTCAGTGAATCACGAATATAACGTTTAATGTCAGGAATTTTATCAATTTTTTCTCTAGCAAAAAAGAGAGTTGAAATTCGAAAAACTGCCAGAAAAAAACTCACTTTTGTGTAAAAGGATCGCACAATGATGCCATTTTTTCAATAATAGTCATCTTACCAGACTCATCATCACCTACCAAATCAAATACATGTGAATGTTCTTAAAAATGTCATTGTCAAGAAAAGGCTTACCTGAAAGTAGTAGTCTGTAGCCATAGACTTTCTTGGCTTTTTTTGATTTTATGTCGATCTCTTTCTTGTTCTGTTTGTATTTTTTGCTGTCTTGATTATTCGCTTTGAAACAGCTGTAGCATTTCAACATTTTTTCAGCATTAATTCTACGATGGTTTGTTTGCCACGAATATTGATGAAAGGCGACTGGTCGATCATATATTTAGTACTCTATAGTGAATAATTTGTTCTCTAAAATCTTGCATATACTATAACAGTATAACAGAGTCGGATCCACAATTTTTTCAGAAGCTTTGCATCTGCTTAACTAAACCCAAAGATTTCCATTTATCGATCTGAGAGAATACTATCAAACACGCGATATAAAAGACTGATCGCCTGAATCATATTTTTATTTGATCTTTTTCGTCTAGTATCGATAATAATAGCAACATTGTCGGCTCATATTACATCTCAGTAGAACACGATCTAATTCACATTATTGATACAATATTTTATTGTCGATTTTGTCTCGAAAATAAAACAAAAGTTTCTTTTTCTTGCAAAACAAAAAAAGTTATTTTAATTTCTTTACAACGAGTTTTTGTGCTCAACTAAGACATTTTTTGCTGACAAAATCACTACGATAAAATAAATATTCGAAAAGAACGTTTAATTGTTGCTGTTTTGCACGTGCTTACTTGTTTTTGTTTTGTTAGAGAAAAAACAGTGATAAGAATGAAAACGTTCTATGTAATTGCCGTAACATAAAAAAATTGAAGAAAGAACGAAAGAGATACGAAGATAGATGCATTCCTCATCAACGTCATGCATACACTGTTGCCAATTGATCAAGCAGAAAAATGAAAAAAAAATATTGACGTGACAAGAATAACATATCTATAATAGTCTCGATTGCGTAGATGCATAATCAATCAAACCGAAGCATCACGATGATGTATTAAGAATAGCATGGATTGAAGCTGTATCTCTCAATAATTAGTTTTTTAAAAGATTTCATAAAACAACAAAATTTCATGTACCTTTTTATTGAGAAATCTCGTTGGATAATCGTTCACCTCGTGTCTTGCTTAAAAGCTATATCTTAATAATGAAGAAACATTCTCAACGTCAATAATGATTCTTGTGTGAATATTTATGTAGAGCTGAAATGATACAAACAGCTTTGTCGTTGATGATGAGTCTATAAATTCGTCTTTTTTTTTTATAGTTGGTCAGTTCAATTCATTTCCGTTGTGAAGGTATTCATAGTACATTTGTACGCAAAAAGTAATCATGTTAGAAGTATGTAAAGATAGTTAACTTTCATATGACAAATCACATGACGATGTAAACACATAATCATATCACTTTAATTTAGTAAATATTTAGAATTCATAGTAAAAAAAAAGAACTTAATGAATCTTAAATTTCCTCATACGTTTACAACGATAAAAATTAATTTTTTTTTTTTTTGGTTAAGTCATTCAAAATTTTTACTCTGTGTATTTCAGAACATAAGATGAAATGAATTGAACGAAAATAATATATAATTTCATTTGATGAGAATATTCTCGAAAAACAAAAGATCAGAGAAGAAGAGAGAAATTATGACGTCACTGTACCTTAGCAGCAAGAACAAAGGATATTTGAAAAATAATTATATAAGAGAAGGAAAGAAAGAAAAGAAAAGTATGAGATATGACAAATGCAGTTGTTTATAACCTTAGTGACCTTACATATTTAGTAGTTTAATGTGAAATAAACACTTTTTTCTTTACTGGAAAATAAGTGGTTCAAAAATGAGTCACCGGTCCTCAAAGGGTTAAAAACTAATCATAATTCAGTGTGACTCTTAATTATATCTTATTAGGCAAATTTATAAGTTTTTGCTATTCGTTTTTTTTATTAAAAATATTTTCTTTTTGTTTTGTTGTGTTTTTAAGTAATTTAAACATATTGTACTATTGAATTATCTAGAAGAATTATTATTTATTTATGCACAAAGTTCTTTTTTTGTATAAATACTTAAAATTTCAAAAAAGCAAGGACGAGTGACTTGACTAACACGGAAGATGTGATCTGATACAATGAAAACAATTCTTTTTTTTTTTTTTACAAAAAAAATCATATCGAGATCATTATGATGTATATATATTTTATACTGTTATATTGCATGAAAACACGATTTATGATGTTATTAAAAATACATTTAAAAAAGGTGATATTAATCAAGAAAGATATTGAAATTCAGGTTAGTTACGTTGAACGCGTTTAAACATAACTCTATTGATATAAAAAATGGAACACGAATGAGTCAGAAATGTGTTTAGACGTGTTCTCAGTGCGTTTCGAAGTTACATGGGTGATTACTTTGTTCGAATATTTCCAAGTGATTGATGGATGAAAATTTGTGTTAGGTGATGATGATCTAATAATGAGTGGACCGAAAATTTCTTCATATTTCGATCGTTTGTGGAATTCAGCATAAATTTTAGAACATTGAATAGCAGAATTTTATATTCTTTCGAATCTATGTCTAGAATAGCAGTTGCACTAATAGGTTAAGAGAAAGAAATTGTGATCGTATCTCGTTTGAAAATAATTTTCTATTATTTTTCTCGGCATTTTCTCATTTTCATCGTAAAGTTGATACAGTGGAATGTTGCGATATGAAAATAAAATGAGTTTTAAATTCTGAGGAGTGGACTACAACCATCGATTGACGCTCTACAAGTCTACAAAAGACCGAAATTTTATTTCAACTCGTTGAAAAGTTATGAGTGTCATACTGATAGCATTTTGACCAAGTTTTTTGTCAATTTTACCTTTTGCACAATATCTTTCTAAATTTTCATTGTCAATATTTTCGATTATGACGAATCAATTGGAAATGCTTGTTTTGCTACACAACAAGGTTTTTCCCTACCCTTTACATTACTACTGGCGATTATGCGAAATCGCTTTTATATAAGACCTCAAGCATTCTGAACTGTGTATTTAATGATATTTTTGAAAAACTAAACATTGATTTGAAATTTTAATAAATCTTAGTACTTAAAAATAATCCCGGACTTAAAGGATTAATATTCATAAAGAATACAAAGAACAGGAGGATCTGCCTTTTCCGCCCTGGAACAAGGACGATTCTTTTCATTGCGCTCTTTGACGTCCCTGTGAACTGATCAATTCTCTTATCTAGTAGATCTAATATCATATCTTCGATGTCGCCACCTTTCAGTAGAGGATTAGCTGCGTTACTTGTGATTTTCTAATGGTTTAAATCAGCTGTTTCCCCTTGGATCAACCATTCACGTACATATTAATCATTGACAGCTTTTGCTTAATTTTCAGTATGTTTCTATTAAGAAAATGCTCGAAGAGTCACATCATATAAGACAAATTCCGTCTAATTTAGATCAGCATATAAGTCTCTATTACTTTCCATAAGAATTCTCTTTCTAAAACAAAAAAAACTTTTCTTCGAAAAGCTGCCCTAAGCGCGGGTAGTGAGACTCAGAAAATAGGATTCGATATTAAGAGACCTAAAGGGGAGTACGACAATTTTACGAAGTCTTTTTATTTTGGAAGGATATTTTTATGGAATGTAGTAGAGAATTATATACTGATTTATATTAAATAGAGTTTATCTTATGTGATGTGACTCTTCGAGCATTCTCTCAATAGAAACATACTGAAAGTTAAGCAAAATATGTCAATGATTAACAGACTATGGATGAGGGTGTAGTTCGTTTTCTCACCCGCACTCACACCTACCCATATCCACAGCCAATTCGAGTAAAAATTTTTAGTCAACATATGCTCTAAAATTCAATTTTTCGATATACAATGGCATTTTGGTTGAAATTACTTTTTAATCGCTTTTCTGCATAAATATTACAAAATTGGAGAGAAAAATAAATAAAAAATGTAGAAAAAAAATCAATAAAAATCATGACTTCTTGTGCGTTTTTTGAACTAGTCAAAAAAGACGCTTAAAAGATGAAGCTTTTGAAAAAAAGTCTGAGCAAACCAATATTAAAAGAAATATCGTCAGAATACTCAGAGGCTTATTATTTCTGGGACATCAGTAAGAATAAGTGAAGAACCTAGCTTAGAATGTGGATAAAATCAAATGTCCAATAGATTGTGTCATATTTTTTAATTCATTGAAATATTCTTGTGTATCACGCGACTGATACTCTGAGTAGATAGCCATCGTCAAAGTAGAGATATTGCAAGTAGTTATACATTGGAGCTGAGAGATAGAACATGTAAGTAACTAAGCCTGAAGTGCAACTCGCTTTGCATACTTTCGAATCATCATCTTCATTGCTACAAAAAACAAGTCATTATCAGTCCTAGCACACCAACAAGAAGAGCATAGGGAAGAGGTATCCAGATATAAACCACACACATTGGCAGTGTATTAGTAATAAGAAAAGGAATTGATACTGAAACAATCGTAATAAGCATTGAAAGAACTAGTGCTGTAAGATAAATAGAATACTTTGATTCTATCATTATATCTGTCATTAACTTGTTCATGATAATAATAAAGAAGTTCCAACACTGAGGAATAATATAGTTCGAGAGTTTATAGCCGAAGATTTTGTAACATGTCCACGCTGTAGCGTCTGGATAAGATATACATTTCGACTGCTGTACATAGTACCAAATGAAGTGAGCAAATTGTGGTAAGAGTACAAGGAGGTCAAAGATGTCGATAAGCATCCGATCATGAAGACTTCACAAAGCGTTAGTTTCAAATCCTGATAGATATGTACCGTATCGAACACGATTCCATATCCGTTGACAAGCTTGAATAATTATAATTTGTAAGATGAATAGCCAGTAAGGCTGAAGAAGTACTTCACTTTTAGGAAAATAGTAAAGTAGAGGGTTGCCATATTCGACTGATGTGCTGTTAGTTGACATAGGTTTTTGTCTCTATAGCTTCACTCAATTTAAGTATTGCCTGTGTGAAGAAAAAAAAACATAAAGAAATAGCCAACTGTTTCATAATTTACTTACGATTCTCGTTC